CTGAGAAAAGAAATACAGCCAAAGTTGGTAGCAAACTTTAAAATCTTATTTAGGTCATGAGCTGTACCACAGAACAGCTCTGGCAGACTGAGGAATAGAAACCAGTTCCCTTGCGTCTTATCCATTGCCTTAAGCTCCAGGGCCAACTTTTTTTCCTGCAACTGTGTTTCTTACATGCATTTAAAAAACTTTTCTTTGGAGCTTGTTTCTGGGTAAGCATATTTATCCCCTAAAAATTTTTGAAGATTGCTATACCTATTAAAAATGTAGTAGAGTGAAATACCAATTCATCCAGCTTTTCATGAAGAACAGTGTAGGAGCAATCTCTTTTTTTACTGTGAGTAAAGGACTAGGGTCTGTCAGCAGCTTTTTTTGACTATCAAATCTGATATTCCCCATTTGGGGAAAATGAAATATTGTTTTCCTTAAAATGTATAATGTTGTAAAGAGACAAAGAGGTACAGCCTTCATTAAATTGTTAACAACGTATAGAAGCAACATGGAACTATCATACTCCTTTTTTTTTTTTTTTTTTTTTTTTAAGTCAAGGTAAGGTTTAATTACAAACTCCAAATCCCCACCAGAATTTAATGCATAGCTTTATACATCAGTTTCCTCCAGCTAAAGTTATCTTATACTACTCAATAATTAAGTAAAAGTGTAGTGTTAATTAATTTATTTATTTAATAATTCCTTTACTAAGAGTTGGTAGAATTAAACAATTACTGCTGAGCTCTCAAAATGCTTATACTGATAGTGATACGCATTCCAGTCCCTGCCCTAGTTGTTCTGTGGGAGTGCTCATGTTTGTCTCCATCACAGCTGTGCCTGATGTGAACACACAGACGAATTTTCCAGCTTGTCCTCAGACCTGTCACAGAATCATCTGCTTAAGAAAAATGCGTATCATTTTGAATTCTCAGTTTCACAGCAGAATTGGTGCCAGGCTTTTTGAATTCCAATGGCAGACCCATATCCAAATCAGTAGAATCCATAATAAAATTCTTTGGAAGGATTAAAAGACTTCTTTAAGAAGACAAGCACAAGTTCCAATACTGTATCAACTGATATTTAGAATATTTAGAAAGTAAAGAACATGAACATGGGAAGTAGAAAGCAAAGAGTGAAAAATATAGCAAAAATACCCCAAGATTAAAGCACAAGATTAGATTTGTCAGATGTGTGATCACAGTATTGAAACGGGGGGGGGGGGGGGGAGGGGGGGGGGGAAACAAACAACATTAAGCATTTTAGAAAAGAAATGGCGGCATTATAAATTCTTATGAACCTCCCAGTGTCTGGTTGTGATAATGGAAGGAGAAACATTTTTCTTTTGGCAAGATCTCCACAACAAACTCTTATACAAAGCAGGCAATATCTGATGGTGGCAGTGAAGTGAAGAGTTTCTAGCTCTCTGGCACCAGCTCCAATAAACTGTGCCTTTTGGGAGCTTAAAGTTTAGTTCAGTGGGAAATCCAAGAGCTCTTTCAGTGTTTTAGTCTTCCAAAAGATAGAGTGGGAGAAAAAAAAAATATTCAGTGGCTGAATTAAAAGAAGTGTTGCTCAGAAAAAAATAAAAATAAAAATAAAAATAAAAATCATTGTGATTCATAAGAAAGCCCCTTTCAATTAGGAGAAATGAACACCTCAACTGCAAAGCCTATGAACAAATTCCAGCACAGCAAATCAGCGGCCAGTGTGAATGGATAAATTTTCTCATCAAGTGTCAGCTTTGTAGCCTCCTCCAATGCCTATCTTTTTTAACATGGTTTTATTTTTATCATTTTTCCATAATCTAATTTGACAAAAAAATACTGGGAGTGAATCAGCTGTTTTCTGGTCAGATCAAGTGAATAACATTGATCTAGTCTCCCTGAGATTGCAGAAACTACTAAAAACCTCTTCACTAAGAAAAAACAAAACAAAACAAAACAAAACAAAAAAAACAAAAATAAACTTGAGAAAATATTAGAAAAGTAAGCTTTCAACCAAAAAAACCCACACCTCTTAGTTTATAACAGAAGGTTAAACACTATGGGTTAGAAATAACAAGCTGTCTACCTTTAGAAAGTACAAAGGATAAATCTACTTTTTCTAAGCAGCATGTGATAGTTGTAGTGAACTTTCATGCTAAGCAGGAGGTTTTTGAATATTAACTAAATTGTGATCAACAGAAGCCTATTTTTATTTGGTAGTACAACTGTTATTGATCTGTTTCAGAAACATAGTTTTCTTTGTGTCAAGAATTAAGTGTATGGTAAGAACTTTTCTCCTATAAAGAAAGGTTGAGGGAATTGGACTTCTTTATCTTGGAGGTTTCAGGGAAACCTCATTGTGTCCTCCAGCACTTGAGGGGAGCTTATAAACAGGAGGGGAGGGTAACATTTTACAGAGTCTGGTAGTGATAGGACAAGAGGAAATGGCTGTAAACTGAAATAGAAAAAAAAAATAAGTTAGAAGTTGGGAAAAAATCTTTACTCAGAGGATGGTGAAGTGCTGGCACAGCTGCCCAGAGAACCTGTGGTGCCCCATCCCTGGAGGCACTCAAGGCCAGGCTGGATGGGGCCCTGGGCAGCTGAGCTCATGGTGGACAGCCTTGCCCCTTGGCAGAGATTGGGACTGGTGAAATTTCCCTCACTATCCAAGCCATTCTGTGCATCTGTGATAAGGAGCAGTTAATGGGATTACTGAAATGAAAACATCACTCATTTTACCAGTATACTATGAGAAAAGCTATTTGTTTGTTTGTTTGTTTGTTTGTTTTGGTCAGTGATTACTCTTTCACAGAATATGCTTAAAAGCTAACTGTAACATCACAACAGGATGAAGGATATAGTTCCAATCTTGGTGGACACGTTCTGACTGTTACTTTTGTAATGCTGATTAGCTGTTAATAAAGTAATTTTCTATATGTTCACTTTTCCTAGTCCTTGTGAAAAAACTGACAAAACAACATATAATTTGGAAACATGGCTAAAAGTGTTATAATGAAGCTGTGGCTGGGAAAGAAGTAATAGAATCAATCATGCAACTGTTTGAGTTGGAAGGAGCCCTCGCAGGTCATCTCATCCAACTCTCCTGCAATGAACAGGGACACCTACAGCTAGATCAGGCTGCTCAGAGCAGACTGATCTTGAGTGTCTTCAAGAATTAGGCTTCCACCACCATTTTGGGCAATCTGCTCCTCACCACCCTAATTGTAAAAATAATTTTTCCATATATCTAGTCTAAATCTCCCCTCTTTTAGTTCAAAGCCATAAAGACAATAAATAGTAATTCTAGTAATGTTATTTAGGAGGTACTTCATCGGTCAACCAAGAAACTTGACACAAGCATCTTAAAGGGAAGTTTTCAGAGAGTACAAAATGTCCTCCTTGTAACCAAAAACTGTGCTAAGATCTAATAGTAAAGTACCAAAAGTAGTTACATTGTTCTTTCTCGGTAGTATACAAATATAAAATACGCCCAACAGAACCACTAGCATGCATAGATCTGTGAGACAGTCACAGTCGTTAAAGAAAAGCAGAAGGATAATCAAGAGATGAGTTTGTAAAGTTCCCAGTTGAACTGAGGTGTCACCCCTGTCAAAAATCATGTCCCATTGCACCCTCTGAATTTTACTATATATCCTGAGTTTGACAGGCTTTCTGCAGAGGAAATGCAGCAAAACTTGGATCTTGTTTTCAGATGGCCAGAGTGTCTTCTCACAATACAAATTTTACATTTATCTACATTCTAATGGAGAAGTTTCTATTGCTGAAGTACAGATACCATTTCCATTTTTTTTCTTGTCCATGAAAATATATACCATATGTTTTTTGATTGTTCAGTGTGCATGTGCTTGTCTTTCAAAGGAGGTTAAGGAAATGGACTGTTAGGAGAGAGATTTGAAAGATATAATTCTACAGATCTGTACAGAGGATTTTTGGAAAGCATCAGCAAACAATTTATACAATTCTACGTTTTCTATACAGTGTCACATATGTTTCTCTTCCAAGCATTGTATTTCCTGTGTTTTTATATGATGCTTGTTCTTTATTTCTCTTACACTGTGATTTGCTTCTCCTGTTTCTGATATAATTAAAAACAAAAAAGACGATCAATGAAATAAATGTGCTGATGTGGTGATAATTGTATTAAAGCAATATTAGAGTGCCTCTTTCTTCACTTCAGTCTGTAACCATATTATCTCCAGCTAAAATTATTTTACTCATGTATTAGGAATAGTAAAGTGAAGCTCTGTTTTTGGAGTCATATGGTTGGAGGAAAACCATCAGTGATTAAGATAGAAACATTTGAAGTTGTTAAATTAAAAATTAAAAAAAAAAAAATACACCCTAAATCTGTAACCATGTTGTTTTGTGTTTTCTGGCTTCTTTGTGCTCTTAAGCAGCTCAAAGAGGACAAAGGCTTGCCACCATAAGAATAAATGAGAAAATCTGTTTATAACATGATTGCTTATGTCACCTTTAAGCAAAACATGCTGTTCCATGGAAACATGCATGTTGAAAGAAAGGAGGATGGCTCAGAGGAATTCATCAGGCTTTATCAACCTCTAAGCAACATGCACTAAGTTCTGTTGGTTCATTCTAGGGCCAACTGCAGAGGTTTTCAAGTCAGTCCACAAAATCAACAATGTGTAAGAGTTTTCTTGATAAGTCTTTCCCCTTTATATGGTCTCAGTAATTGGTTTGGCTGCATGAAAACTTCTGGTGTTAGAACCACTAGAAATTCACAAGCATTGTCCTCCCTCACGTTGCAAAGCGGAAACCCATTGTGCATTTTTCATCATCTGTAATAAAAGCTTTTGATCCAGTAGACTGATTGATAGTAGATTATAATGGTAAAAGAATAGGGGCTTGATTAGTTTTCAAATGAAATTGAAAAGAATTGGAACAAGTATATCATCGTTCAAACCATTGCTTAATGAATATAGTCCATCTGCTTCCTTCTCACTGAGTCTCAGTTTACTAGTTTGCCTTTTTCTCAATTTCTGACAGGTGAGGAATGATCTGACTGGTGTTCTGTATGGTGAAGATATTGAGATTTCAGATACTGAGAGTTTCTCCAATGACCCTTGCACAAGCGTAAAGAAGCTTAAGGTATGTGCTGCTGCTTGAGAAATAAAGTACTGATTGTGTTGTGGCGTTTGATTTTTTTTTCCTCTGAAGAGGAATAATAAACCAAAATTTGCATAAGAATACTGTAGTATGTAGTTAATAAGGTTAACAAATGGCATTTTGAGGGCCTACTCCTGCTTAATTCAATAAATGTTCATGTGATAAAGGTTTTTATAGTTCCAGATAAGGACAGAAAGTAAAACAAGTTTTTGCTGGCTTACTGTTTGTACCCAAAGCATCAGTCTTAGTCATATATGTGAGAAAGTTCTTGAGTTTTAGGCTCAGAGTCTTTTTAAGGTGAATTATATGTAGAGAAAGCATTGAGCATCTTTGTATCAACTTCATTACATTCTAGATTGAATTATTTGCTTATAATCATTTGCATTATTGCATATGAATTGTAGGAAATAAATGAAAGTTAAACTTGATAGCAGAATAACTTAACATCTCTCTCTTATTGTAATGATTTTTTAGGTTCTTGGCATCTGCTCAAATTAAAACAGTATTTTAGCAATATTATGAAGTGCAATCAATCATGAATTAGCCATTGGAGATATGAATCTTACACTGCATGTGAGCATAAAAAAATATTCAAGTTGCAAGAGAAAGCAATTTTAAATAGTGAAGATCAAATCTTAGCTTGCATCTGGTGTATAGAGTTAAAGCTGCAACCCTGCCGATATTTGAATATGTGTAGAAAGGCAGAAAAAAAAAAAAAAACAACCCTAATAAATGGAACACTATTTAAATACTAAAATTTGAACAAAGATATCAGCTTATATAGGTTTAGGCAAGTACTGAGACTAACTGAAAAAGGTCAGAAGCATGGTAAACTAAGGTTTCATTATTATTTTTGCATAATAGAGATGCAAGCTTGAAAGCTTGAATGCTTAAAGTATAACTAGATAAACATCATGTTTATGTGTAACCATTCACAGCTGTCTCGTCTAAGTTTGTGTTTCCTGTCTGTCTTTGAGAAGACTCCAGTATGTGTTATCAGCAAAGTCGACATTTTTAGCCAGGTGTTTTACCCCTGTTATCAGTAAGCTAAGAAATTCAAAGCCAGCTATCTTAATCTTAATGTATAGGAAAGATCAGATTAATCTATCAAACTTTATTAAATTAATCCCTTGGTTTCCTCTTAAAAATCATTAATTACAAAAATAAATAAGCATATATATATATATATATATGTACACAGTTACTTATTCTTTATACGGTCATTTGTCCTTAGGTATACATGTCAGGCACAGTTTACCTGTCCAATTCTGAAAATGTTCATTCCTTTAAGGAAATATAAATTTACTGTAGGTAAACTGGTGTCTGCTTATTGTAATTGTGAAGAAAAACAGACATGAAATACTTTTTCTTTCCGTAGGTACATTTAAATTAATGAAATGAATGTTTATGCAATACAAAATAGAAATATCTACTATGATTTGCAGAAATATATTTTCTATATTTTCCATGGTAACGCCCTAAGTTTTACTACGTATTGACTCTAGTTTCTTTGAATCACAGTTAGAAAGTAAATTTACACTTAAGAATATTGTTTAAACTCATTTTTTGTAGCTCAGAGAAGAGGATGTTGAAGGATGTGCATTTGTACATCATCTTAAATATGCCATGAGGTTGTAAGCATGCATCATCTTGTTGAATGATCAACACTTTTGCTTCCAGCTCCCTTGTGTCTTGCACATAAGACAAAATAAATTAAAGTCCAATGTGATAGTTTGCTTCTGGTTTCCCAAAAACAATAGGTTTTTTTGAATGCTGACCAAACATGATCTCCATTTAACAAAAAATTCCTTAAATTTTTAAAATTTAGGCCAAGAATAGGTTTGGATGCAGCCTCAGTCTAACTGAGTAACATGCATGCTTACATAGATATCAAGTTTTGTCATCATGTTGTGTTGGTGGGAGCTGAAATCCCCTTGTTACCTTCTCTATCACTAATTCCATAGCTTAAGTTAGAGACTCACCTGTAGTTATGCAAATGGACATCCAGGCATTTAGGAGGCAGAACATATGGATGCCTGTATGGGCAAAGTTACCCAGCTAAGAGTAGATTTATTGATAACATCTTGACTGTCAGATATACAGTAGAGAATATGACAGACTATCTGAACAGTGCAATTTAGATATTTCTTGAGGAGCCTGCCAAAGCATTGACTCTTCCTGACAGATGAGGTATTGTAGCAATCCTTCTCTCGAAAGCTGTATAATACAACAATGTGGTTTTATTCATTAGAAATGAGACAGATTAAAATCTGATTGCAGGAGGGAATCTCTGCAGGCTGAAAAAAAGAAAAGAAAATTGCCTATTCCAGCATAATATGCTGCACTCAAAAGCTGAAGAAGCTGAAGAGTGCCTCATATCTGGAGTATTAAAAATTGCAGTGGAGTAGGCAACATTTTCTTCATCTCTCAATAGATCATCTTAGATATCTTGACTCGCACTGTCTTCAGGGTTCACTATGCCAGCTGCCAGTAGTATCAAAAACACTTCAAATTTAGTGGATGAATAATATCCTCACCTGTAAAGAAGAAGGAAACAGGAGAGAGATTTCCTTTTAGGGCTGTGCTGTTGTCTTTATAAGATATGTTTTTATGGTTAGTTCTCTACAGCTATGGTTAAATGATTTTTTTTTTGTTTTTTTATGTTTGTTTGAACTTCAATTCAAAGTGTGGAAAGATATGTATTGCTTACTGAGGGACAAAGCTTAAATGCCAATGTTGCAGCTGTGATCTCTAGGAAGAGTAACTATGAGAGCTCGCTATATGGCAAATGGTCTAAACTCTTGTCTTCTGAAGTAAGCACATTTTTTTGAGTTGCCTTCCCTCCACGATGTTTTGAATCATCTAATTGATCACTGCCCAGTGCCATGACTTAAAACATTCTGTCAAGTATGCTTTAGTTCTAGACAACCAATGTAGAACTCTGTGAGAAGAATACTTGGCACTTGCTGTGCTCCATTGAGTGATCCCTTTGAACCCTACACGAGAGTTGTGTAACTTACATCAGTTTTCAAGGGATTGATGTAAAGAAATAGTGCAAATATGCAAGGAAATGATATTAGTTGATTTAACAATCTGACCAAGAGAAGGAAAAAATTATGTCCCAGTATCTGATGTTTATCATTACATAAGGCTATAATACGGACATATGTCCTGAGCCGTGACCACTGAAATGAACCTACTTCTGATAAACTGCTTTGCAGCCTTCCTTTACCATATGGAAAAAAAAATTTACATGATTTATTGATGAGTTATGTGCAGCCACAAGAATTTGAAGCTTTAGGATTTCTACAGGACAGAGCCAGCAGACCAGACCCAATCCTTGCTTCAAACGGGGACAAATTTATTATGTTTTTCGTCTTTCATGCACAGAGGAAAAATGTTATGCATGGAAGATGAAGAGCTATTGCACAGACTTTCCTAAAGAATTTCCTTTTACATATATATCATTGTATTGATATCTGCATAGTTTGTAAACAAGGGGGATCTCTTATCATTTCCACTACTTGACTAACCAGCTAAAATTATAGATTATAAAGCTGTAGGAAAAAAATAAAATAAAATAAGGAAGCTGCAGATACTCCCAGGCAGCTTGACTCCACAGTCTCATACTCTCCATTAAGCACAGCAGCATCCCTGAGTTATACTGAAAGTCCAACTCAAAATTCCTTGCTTATCCTGCGCTACATTATGCTTCTCTGATTTATTATCTCACTCTAGGCACCTTTGTCTAGACTCTTCTTCCATTTTCTCCTGAGAAAAGCTTGCTTTCTGAGATTGCAGCTTTCCTAATTTTTCTAATAGCTATTTATCAAGCTTACAATTTGCTGTAGAATTGAAAATCCTAATTACTGTTACCTCCCCAGCTTTTTGCTCCCCCTTTACCTAAACCATGTATGTACTCATTGCTCAGATTCCTTATTTGATATGTCTCTTCTTTCCCTATGCCTTTTTTTTTTTTTTTTTTTTTTCTTACTGGATCCCACTCCAGCCATTTTTTAAATTGTCAGCTTTAAATTTCTCTATCTGTTTCTGGCCAATACAGAGTATGTGTGAGTTCTCAGTTCCTTCCAGTGTTCCAAATGGTTATTACTAAGGTTAAGATGAGTGAGGAGAGACCTCATGGTGGACTACAACTCCTCATGAGAGGAGCGGAGGGCAGAGCTGAGCTTTGCTCTCTGTTGACAGTGACAGGACCTGGGGGAACAGCATGGATCTATATCAGGGGAGCATCAGGTTGGGGATTAGGAAAAAGTTCTGCACCAGAGGGTGGTGGGCATGAAACAGGCTGCCCAGGACAATGGTAATGGCCCCAAGCTGCCACAGTTCAAGGAGCACTTGTACGTGGTTCTCAGACATAGGGTTTGAATTTGGGTGTGCTGTGTGGAGCCTGGAGCTGGATTCAATGACCCTTGTGGGTCCCATCCAACTTGGGATATTCTGTGGTTTTATAATTCTGTGAGTCTGAGCATACAAGATGTGGGTCTGAGTTGTATTGCCAAAGTGATTGCAAGATGACATTAGTATAAGACAATCCCTGCAGCCAGCAGGTATATTGAAATAGGATAGGATATTTCTAGGAAAAAGATAGGATGGATTGTATACTTCTCACAGCACTTTACAACAATAGAATAGTCCCTGGGGGGGAATGTACTCTGGTTTATTTGGTAATCATGTGGAAGTAATGCCTTCCTCCAGGGCATGGTACCAGTTTGAGTGTTGTACAGCCAGTGAGCAGTGGTGATACCCATGCACTCCTCCACACCCAGTCTATTCTATATTCTATATTCTCTCTGGTGCTCATAAAGTATGAGGCAGTGCATATAAAATTTTCTTAAAATTAATTCTAATCGTGTTAATGAAAAAATGGCAAGTAATTTATTCAATTTTAATAATTCATTACTGTGTCACTTGCTTTTTTCAGCCAACTTTTCCTACTCATATTAAATATGTAGTTTTGTGTTCAGGGAGGTCAAGCAATTTGAAGACAGAGTTCCAAAAGGGACCAAAATGATTGCTACAATGTGAATATTAGAAAATGTGGATGTGTGCCTTTTTTCCACATAAGTCCTAAATCTATTATTTGTCCTTACAAAAAAATGTAATACCCTTGTTGTCAATGAGCGTAATTCATGTGATTTGCTTGCTTAGTTTCACATGACCTCATTAGATTTGTATTAAAAGAATCTAATCTATTTCAATAAGATTTATATTGCTTTATCAATCTGTGCCTGGCTATAAAACTAAGGTAAATATACTTATTTAAAATGCATAGGTTCAGAATGAGCAAAGCATGTGGTGAATTTTATTATTTTCTGACCACGCTAGGAGTGCTCCAAAAGTAATGCCTCCTATATTATTTTGTTGTCCCACAATATCATTGGAGGATGTTATTGGTATGGCAGTAGAGGTCGAACCTTCCCACCAGTATCCCATTATATGTTGTTACCATGAGACAAATGGCAGTAGAGGGGCAGTCTGACAGAATGATATCTGACATGGAAGTGTCACTGAAGCAAAGGTGTGCCACTGAATTCCTTCATGCAGGATGTTACTCATCACTGGTGAAAATTCCTAGCTAATGGTGATGACTGTGTTGAAAAACAGTGTTTTCTAGCTAAAAATTTGCTCTCTCAGATGTGTTTTTGTGCTCTTTGTGTCTCTTGTCATTTCCATGGAAATAAATAGGAGGCATTATTTTGGAACAACCTACATAGATTTCATGCACTGAATTGCAGAGGCATTATAGTATTTTTTTTCTGCATTGCTCATCATAATATTTCATGCTGACCATGAAATAAACAGACAAATTACCTAAATTGAAAATCTTTGATAAACTGATTTAATTAAAGATGAAGTGTTTTCACCACTGAAAGACACAGTGAATCATTTATTTCATTTGTTCCTTAGAGAGGGAAAGAGCTCTTAGTAATAAAGTATTTTATAAAATAAATGACAAATCACATTTGCTCAACCTATTACTGAGAACTCAGGTAATTTTTTTTGTTTTATAGAAGTCACCCCTTAATTTTTCACATGTGAAAGAATAGCAGCCTAATTCCTGAAGGAATATTTTGCTGCATACGCTCCTGAATTTAGGAATGTTATGCCAATGCATTGCAAAGTATGAAAGTAAAATGATGTCTTTTGACTTTAGTCATAGATTCACAAAGTGTGATGAAATTTTTTTTTTAATGCGTGGAGGTGGAGAAACTTGGGAAAAGGGGGATTGGCAATGTGTTACAGTGAGTGAAGAGAAACTGTTGAATGAATAAAACTTTTTAAAATTTCTGAAGATGATATAAAGTGAACACATTTTATCTCACTTATGAATCCGAATTCTCTTATCTTCACATTATTAATTTGTACAAACAGTAAAAAGTGTGTATTTTCAATTCTTTTTAATAGGCAAAATTAATAATAAAAGAAGAAATCTTGCAAGGCATCAAAAGAATATTTGCTAATTCAGTGGCTTTGAATAGTAATATTTGACAAGATAAACATTACATTTATTTTTCTCATTAGCCCTATTGCTTAATCATTTTCTTCAGACACCTCAGCTGCCCTCTTCTTGCAGAGTTTCAAGATCTTGAACTTGTAGAAAATGTAATAATTCTGAATGAATTTTGCTGTCTGCAGCTGTGATCTGTTCCAACTCTGTATATGATTTCAATGGCCAGCTGAAGTTGTTTCTGGAAAGGCTGCATCTGTATTTAACTTCCCTGCATCTTATTTAATCTACAGGGTAATGACGTTCGGATAATCCTTGGCCAGTTTGATGAGGAAATGGCTGTGAAAGTTTTCTGCTGTGTAAGTAAATATGTTTAATTTTGTATCACAATAAAAATGTAGTACATTTGTATAAAAATATGTGAGTATAAGCGTGTCTTCATGTGGTTCAGCTTTGCAAAGACTTTTAGCCTTAAGGGAAGTTACGTATGCTTAGCTTCATTTCTGTTTCAATAAAATACTTTGCACTTGACTTCAGAGCAATTTGGGCATGGCCTTCATGGTTAGCTTCTCATTATTGCTTTCTTCTAATGGAATTAAATACTGTATTGAACTTTAGCAGTTCTCTTCATATCAGGTCCTGAGAAACACTTGTACGTATGTAGCAACAGATGCAGAGAACTTCTAGTTTTGCATTATGTCCAGTAGTTGTGTTCTGATGTCTGTGTGTGTGTGTGTGTAGGTACGTACGTATGAATGTATGTATTTTTGCATGTTTTACTTTGAATTAAAAATTTAAGCAGTTCCTATGTGGGCTAACAAAACAGTTCTAAAATTTCTGCTACTCAAAATATTGGTAATTGTACAATCATCATTCACTTTCTTACTATTGTACATTTGACATACTCTTACTGACAGAAAATACTATTAAAAAAAAAAAAAAGAGAGACTGTGAAGTAAAAGAACTGTAGTAAGACCAGTACATGTAATTTCACCATATATGTCTTCACAGTCTTTGTGTGTATTTGAATGTACTGCAAACATGCACAAGCAGGAGTGAAACATGGATCTTTTTTTGTATCTGCTCAGTAAATAAATAATCACAACGAATCACAAACAGGCAAATTTTTGTGACTTTAGTTTTGGTATTTTGGTTTTCACTCAGACAAACTTATCTAGCAAAGGAAAGAAAGGCAAACGTTCAAAATCTGATTTCTTCATATGCCGCATGTATTGGCTGTTATTTAGCAGTTACAGTTGCTGGCAAAATTTGGAAAGGAGATATTGCAGAGTATATTTGGAAGGAACAATATCTGTTTGCATCCAAAAGGAAATGGAAAACATTATTTCTTTTTAATTTTTCTCATCTCTGATCAGTCTTGGTATATAGATCTTTTTGTTCCAGCATTTAAATAGATTGACAAAGATAATCTCCTATTTTTCCATTCCTGCAAATAAAAAGGACTCCTCCTGTGGCTTGTATCCTCCACAGATCTTTGATAGCTGGGCTTCATGTGCCCATCTGAGGTATCCTGGTCACAGCTGTCTGCCAACCCAGTACTAGGCAAGATACTGACCTCACTAAGGCCACTGCACTTAGTATGCTGTTGCCTTCCTCTATGGTTTTGTTGCATGTTTGTATACCTAAGAGGAAGCTAAAGAAATCCTAGAAACCTCTGTGGGTAGGGTGTCCTCTTGTCCATACTGTTCTAGTCTGAAGGATTTATGGTAGATCTATCTCTTGCACACAAGAGCCTGCCACAACAGCTTGCCACAGCAGCTGTTAGGTACTAACTGAAGAAGCCTGTGTAATTCAAGTTCCAGGAGTGAAGGCTTCTTCTAAAGTACGTTAATGTCAGAAATAATAAGGTGGATTTTTCTGTAGCTTGGAGAAATCCAAGAGATTATGTATTTATGGTTGTATAAATGTATTAATTATGAGAGTTCCAACAGGAGAGGACAGTTCAAAGTAGGTCACTTATATATTAGTGCATGGCAATATGTCAGTAAGCTTGCTGTTAGTCATGAAATATATTGTTGACTCATGCACTTCTACAGCTGTGTGTCTAAGAGCACAATAACTTAGGTATGTCAAGTTTTTTTATCCTCGCGGCCCCCCCGAGGTGTAACTTCAGACAGGTTTGTGATTCTCTTTTATATTTTGCTGAGTAGTTTACATCAGTCAGAGCAAGGCTTTAGGTTTGTTAAAGGGAGCATCTATTGTACCAGAGGAAAAAACATATATTCATTTCTGATTGCGCTTATGACATGAATAGTATTCGCTAATGATTTCTGTAGATGGGAAAGCCATTAATGTCTGTACTGGTTTTCTGGTTGCACCCTAGAATTATATGCTGTGGAATTTCCTGAGGACCTCCATGTGCTCATTTTCATTTTACCTGGTTATTCCCTGCACACACAGGCGTACACACACAGAAGATACATAGCACGTAACTCAAAAGACAAATGGACTAAAAGACAGCCTAATTCAGAGGGGAATTTTAAAAACATGACAGCACTAATTCAAACCTAAGTGAATGTTAGCAGGTGTTTCCTATGATGTTTTAAATAGGCTTAGCTATTCGTTTAATGCTAGCATCAAAAGCACTTAGCAATTTAAAATCTATGGGAAATCTTAGCTTTCTACTGTTGTTTGCACCTCAGTGGATTGAATGTGATATTTTTTGTGGGATAAAAATTAGGGAATTTTGCTCAGAACTGAACAATTCAAAAACCGAATATTCAACTGTGTTGGACAGATGTCATCTGATTATTATTTGAACTTGGATTGAAATATAACTTCACTACTTACCTAATGAAAACTTCAAATTCTGCATTAAAAAAAAAAAAAGTAAAAAAAAGTTGCTAAAGGGAATTTTTCCAAGACATCACCTTTAAGCCATAATCAAACTAAACTGACTCCTAGCTGTTATAATCATCTGTCTGAAGACAATTAAAAAAATTATTATGTATAGGTCACTGAGATTTAGGTGACTTGACCAGTAAACAATAACAATGTAGGCAAAGTTTAATCAGCACTTGTGATACAGAAGAACTGGATTCTAGTCTCCTTGAGCTGATAGAGTATTACTGCTGAGTCTGTTTTGGAATTAAAGACACCACTGATTTCTAATGAGAAACAGATGGAGGTTCACTGCAGTTCAGAAGTTTATAGACATTCTTATAGAGGTGGGATGTAGAATGTGTCCATGCTGATGTGACAGAAGCACAATGGAAAGTCAACAAGAGTGAGGTTTTGCAGCCTGTTTTGCACAGACTGCCAGAATTCACTGGCTACACACAGACAGATTTCTTAGAGAGACTGAGGTAATTCATCTCTTTGATTTCCACTTGATTCCAGATCTCAGATCTGCTGTGTTGAAAGGAACACTGCCTCTCTCTGTCTAATTAGAGGCATTGTTATTTCTCGCAATTTTTTTGGTTTGCTTAGTACACATTTCCTTCCAATCCATCTCTAATAGAGTTCTGTTCATTTGTTGAAAAAGGGTGTTTTAAATGATCACTGAATATGCAATGCTCTATTTTAGATATCAGGAAATTTGAAATAAGGCAGTAGCCAAAAATTAGCTCACCAATAAGTTTCTAATGACATTCAATGTAACTGTTCCTTTAAGCAAAGGCTAAAGATTGAGTAAGAGCGGTCATATTCTGAAGTGTGTAAAAATGGTTCATTACAGATGGAAGTGTGATTTGTTGTTGCTTCTGTTTTCTTTTAAGAAACTGAAGCAGATTTTCATTTGCATATGAATGCACAATCAGGACCAGCAGTGATAACCTTTAGCTTTTTACCAGTCTGCTTACCCTGTTTTGAGTAATGTCAGCCTGTAGTGTGCAACAATCAAAGAGATGAATCCGCATCACTGCAGACACATTGAAAACCATTTCACAGTTATTGATAATAGTGATAATTGGTTTATGTTAAAACTGACAAATAACGATGGTCTCTTTAAAAAGTTATGGCACCTATTTGTCCTCTGACTTGATTTCTGTATGTCCTAAATAGAATAAAAGAATTTATTTAAACTTACTGTGTATTAATAATTAATCAAAATCTTAAGCATTTTTAGAAATTAGATTTTCGTTTGCCAAATTATTAAAAGCTGTTTTATCAAATTGCTATAAGGCTCAGTTAAAACATGAATTTTAAAACTTGGTTCAGTAATCAACTAATCTTTAAGTAAGCTCATTGTAAGTGCAGAAATGTTTCATCATTCATCCCACCTTGTCTTTGGCTACTTTCTGGACATTAGCCCTGTTTATTATTGTGAGCTTTTGACAGTGATAAAGTATGTGTGTAGAGTGTTGAGCCAGAGCTTCCATGTCACCAAGCACTTTGCATTTATAGGATGATTTTTGTCCTAAGTAAGCATTTCTTAATAGATTCAAACAAGAGTGAAAAATTTTCTAAAAATACCAAAATTATTCTCACAATGAGAAAAAAAAAAAAAAAAATGTCCAGGACTGCCTGCCTAGCACATGCAGGAGAGTTTGGGAAGACACCATAACTACTTTTTATTCTGATAGTATAAAGGGCATGAAATGTTCTTTGCCCTGTTCTTGCACAGAAATCTTCCTCTTAGAAGCTAAAACCTGTGAGTGTTAATTGGTGTGCATGCAAATGGCTCATGCAAGATCCATGTATTTTGGGTCAAGGAAATACATCTTTTAAGCATCAAAATCATCTCCATGCAGCAGAATCAACAGGGAGGAAATGGTGGCAATATATGTATGCATACATATATGTATATATATGTACATATATATATTTTGAAATAATCATAAAATATTCTGGAACAACATACGGAAATGCCTGAACACTAATTTTGCTGTCCCTGACAAAGAGACTGCATGGTCACGGTGCTCAACTTTGGAAGTAGCTGATTTTCTTCCTACTCAGTTTGGCTTCCCAAGACCATCACACACTTCTGACCCTACTAATCCATCAGATCTCAAAGGAAGAGTTTCCAGCTCTTTCTTCTTTAGCAATATCTAGACATCTGATCAAATTCTTGCAGGCAAGAGAGTTTCACAGCAGCCTTGTTGGGAATGATTTCATGTTTCCAGGATAGAATTTTTGGCCATTTGGAAACTTTTAATTTTCAGTCAATATCCCAAGACATTTGGGATATATAAATATATATAAATATATATATATAAAGAAAAGAGGCTCAAGTGCTCCAGCAAACAGAATAACTCCAACAGATCTGATTTCAGTAGTTCAGAGCTGAAGACAAGGTGGGATGAACGATGAAACATTTCTGCACTTACAATGGGCTTACTTAAAGTAGTTAGAGCCAATATTTTCCAGCAGTATTTGGCTTGACACCTTAACCTGTATAGAGCAGAGGAAGCTGTGGAAGACTGCTCTTCTCAAACAGTGCTGCTCTGTGTTAATTTGTGTCCTTTGTGATTTGAAAACTGGCAAGTAAACGACACTGTATCACTGAAAGACCTTGAATCATCTTGCACTAAAATGGAAACTATTTTGGATCTCTTTAAAAGGTGTCACAGGAGGACAAAAACAAATGTATTTCTGGAAAGATAAAATTAATGAGAAAGACAAGCAATTTATGAGAATTATGGAATAAGTATGATACGAGATGGCAGACAGTGGATTTCAGACTGAAGTTCTTTTGAGCACCACTGTGTACAAATGCATGAAATTTGATTTTAGCTGTACAGAAGCTCCTGCGACCAAGGGCCAAAGAGAACTGCTTTCTGCACAATAAATTTCTAAACTGACTTGTCAGAAATACAATAGTTTCCACAGATTTAAAGCCCAATTTTAATTTGGGTATTAATATATTTAAGAGGTACTCCCATGTTGTAATTTTTACAGTTCATATTTATATATCTGATAGTCTCTTGGAATGATCTTTTAAAAATGATTATGTTCAGAATAGCTAATATTTCCTCATTTTACTCTCATTGTTTTGTCCTGCTGTAAAGATCGTGTAAGAAGTTACAGGTCTTCCAGTTAAGAGCTTTAATGCTACACCACGTATTTTGAAAAAATTGATTTTTTTATTTTGTATCTCCAACAGTGCTTATGCTAAGAAACAAAGAAACAAAAAAGCAAAAACTCAGAAGAAAGTACTTATTTAATGTCCTTATGGTCTACTTTATCTCAGTCACATTACTCATATTTGCAACACTGAGATTTGTTCTTGTCTCAGCTCCAAGTTCTTTTGTTTGACAATACCCTGGTTTATGCGCTGGTGAAATTTAGCTTAAATGTGGCCCTGCCACACATGTAATAACTGAGTTATATAAAATTTCTGATGGAAACAAGGTACCTTCTGCAGTGTTCTTCCTTCTCTCTCCTGATCTTGGAATTCGATATTCTATTCTGCTTTTGAGTGAATGATCTATTGAAAACAGATGAGATTTTATCTAATTCTCTCCTCAGGAACTCAGTTTTAAAGTCAGAAATATTCAAGAAAGGAGTCCTCATTGTTAGAAAGCAGTTATTCTAAACTGTTCTAAATACATTTGTATCTTTCTGTAAGGACATTATTTTGTTATTAAAGGGAAAAAAACAAACAAAAATCATGAAGAGAAACTTTTTTTTTTTTTTTAATTTTTAATTTTTTTTTTAAAAAACCTTTTTTTTTTTTTTTTTTTTTTCATTATAGGCTTACGTTGAAGAAATGTATGGCAGCAAGTATCAGTGGATTATTCCAGGGTGGTATGAAAATCTTTGGTGGGAATCCTGGATTAATTCTTCACAGTGTCTCAGCAAAAATCTTCTTGCAGCCATGGAAGGTTATATTGGAGTGGATTTTGAGCCTCTCAGTTCAAAAATGAATAAGACCATATCAGGAAGGGTTAGTATTTTTCCTCCTACTAATGTGTTATGGTCTTCAAGCATCTTGGCACAGTAAAGCACACAGGAGGAAGGCCAAACTACAAGGTGTTTCTGCAGAGAGTTGGCAGTCATCATTGTTACTCTCTTTTTTTCCACTGATTCATAATTCTTAAATATTTAAAAATCCATTTGAATTCTCTTCAGGGAGAATTTCCTTAAAAGCTCTAAAGTCCCTTGTCTAAATACTGTTGTCTTTACCCTTTATGGACCTTACAGATAAATACACAATAAAGCTTGAATTAGTCTTCAATATCACATGTTGCATTATGGCAAATTAATATTTTTGTTTACAGAATAGAAAACATTTATATTTATCCCTAGTCCTGCAAATGTCTGATGTCATTGATTATTTGTGCCTCTCTGAACTGGAGGGGGTTTCTTTAAACACATAAATATGTAGTATTTCCATATATAAAGTGCATAGCATTTTATCATAGTATAAATGCCTGCAAACTCTCATCAATGAGTAAACATGCTTGATTTTGCTATTTTTCATCATTTTTTCTTCTGTTGTTTTTCATGTTTTGCTGAGTGAGCAGGAAAGGCAACTTTATGAAAAGGCAACTCATCATAAGAGAGAACATCGTAAAGAGCATAATAAACTTGTAAAATATAGGCAAATTGCCACTCAAATAATTGCACATTAAGCAAGTAGTTACTTAAGTAAAGACCATTTGATTTGCATTATTCTATAGAGTATAATCAGAGCATTTATCTTTAGGGATACAGACTCTGTGTTCTAGTATTGTGGCTCACCAGTATGCATCCCATGCTGATAGATTTGGTTGAACTAAAGCCTTCTGCATGAAAGCAAAATAAATAAAGCTGTCCTTCATACAGAGAAGCAAACTACTTTTCAGTCTTCCTGTCTCCTCAATCCCCCTCGTGACCTCACCATCAGTTTTGTAACATAGACAGTACACATTTTTGGAATTACTGTTTCTTTCTTAATTCTTGCTTTGGTTGTCTGTTCCACGTTAGTGATACATTTATCTAAACTAGAGCGTGCACTTTATGGTTCAGGTTTCATAGAATCATGGCATGGCTTGGATTTGAAGGCACATTAAAGACAACTGAGTTCTAAGGTGGCAGATTTGCCATCCACCAGCTCAGCTGCCCAGGGCCCCTTTCCACCTGGCCTTGAACTCCTCCAGGGATGGGGCATCTACAGCTTCTCTATACAGCCTGTTCCAGGGCCTCACTACCCTCAAAGTAAAGAATTTCTTTATAACATTTAATATAAATCTTCCCTCATTTAGTTTAAAGACATTTCCCCTTGTCCTGTATGGACACGAATCAGTGAAATGTTAGGTACTGAAGTAAAACTGAAATTTTTCTCTTCTGCAGACTCCACAACAATATGAAAGGGAATACAACGCAAAGCGTGGTGATGGACAATCCAGCAAATTTCATGGTTACGCCTATGACGGAATATGGGTGATTGCCAAGACCTTGCAGCGTGCAATGAAGTATCTCAATGCCACCAACAAGCACCAAAAAATTGAAGATTTTAATTATACAAATCACAAACTTGGCAAAATTTTTCTGGATGCTATGAATGAAACAAACTTTTTCGGAGTAACAGTAAGTCCTAAGCAACAATTTCTGGGGGAGGAGGGAATTCATGATTTTAAGTCAGTAGCTCAAGCAAGTACTGCATTTAAAATAGTCTTGAAAAAAAAAAGATAGGTGTGTATTTCTTTTATTTTCAGATATTCCTAATTTATCTTTGCAATTAAAGTGGATGCTTTGTTTATTACCTGTCTTCTGGTGCCAAGAGATGACGTTTAATTACTCAGTTATCAAATTTTTAAGCATTGATGTGATCTGAATTAACAACACAGAATTGCTTTAAGGGAACCATGAGTGCTGTAAGTTGCAGTGCCCTTTTAAGTGACTGTTTTTGTAGTTAAGATGTACCTGGGATGCAATTTGAAAACACCTATTTTCCCACGTTTTATTTTCAGTAGTAGGTTATAGTACACTATATAGTACACTAATGTCTCCAAGTGTTGTACATCCTAAAACATCCACCAGTATATTTCAGGAGACATTTACATATTTTCAAAATTTCTAGTTTTTCACAGTACAAAGCATGGTAGTTATGACTGAACAAGCATAATCGTATACAGTACCAATCTAATTCTGTTTTCAGTGACACCATTGCAAATTCATGGCAACTTTTTCTTTGACACTGCTCCTCTTTTTTAGCAGAGGCAATAAGGAATGTAGTCCTAAAATTGCTTAAATGTCTATGAGGTATCAGAATTTGAAGGAGTATACATGTTCAGGAGTGTGCAGAGCTATTCTCCTTCAAGAGAGCTGAGCAGGCTCCATTTTAGGGAGGACAATCTTCAGTGTCCAGTAGTTATAGCAAATGAGAGAAGCTCCTGGCATCCTTTTTTTTTTTTTTTTTTTTTATGCAGCATGTTGGCCTGCAACATGGCTAGATAAGGAAATCAGAGTTTTGAAGAAACATGTAATTCAGTGGTGAATGCTCGCAGTGCTTGTAGGAATATCTCTGTGGCAAGAGCATGCAGAAAGTTGGCATCATTTCTGCTGCTGTGCAGTTGCTTGTCACATTCTGTCCCTGAGTTAATTTAAATTGTCTTGGAAATCAGTTAACCTCAAAACATTTTGAAGCAACAGAACTAAGGTTGTCATACATGTCACAGATTGTTTCAAGGAGGAAATGTCAAAGTGTACATATAAAAAATGAGTGCAGGCTCAACTTTTTGGTGTCCTTGTTAACTGCTGAGGAAAGCTGCTTTTTATCACAATACAACTGAAACTAATTTAGGATTTGTAATTAATGAGCAATTGTGTGGAAAGGCAGCAATGGAATCTAGTTGCAAGTACAGTACAAAATTTGCTTTCTTTTTACATTTTGTTTAGCTGAAGGCTATAGTAAAAGTATTTTGCATCTATAACAAATCCACATTGTTGATAAATCAGTCAGTGACAGCTGTAAACCAGATTCTATGGGGAGTCAGACATGTATGTTCTGAGTTAATTCAAGCACAGCATCTCTCAAGGTGAATGAAATTCTATTTTGGCTACACAGCTTTATTTTTACCATCTTATTCTTTTTTGCTTGCTGTTTAGTCCAGGAAGCCCATTATGTTAAAACTGATAGATGTCAGTAAGACTACTTAATTGCTCTCTACTGGCTAAATCACTGCCCCTCACCCTAAAGGAATAAAACAAACAAATAAAACAAGACAAAACAAAAGAAAAAGAAAAAATCAGCACCTCTAAAATGTGGAAGACTCTTTTATTGTAATTTTAGCAAAAACTCAAGTGTGAACTGCATCCCTTTAGGGAAGGAATGAATCAAAGATTTGCCAGCCATCTTCAACCATGCTGATGTACTTTAAGCGTTCAGTTCTTAGTGAAATTACTGCAAGATTATTCAGTGTGTTTAGTATTTTTCTGAATCATTTCTAAATTTTTTTTTTTTAAGAGTATTTTACCAAGTGACTGTGACAATGCGCAACCAAATCTGGCATTTGTTTTATGGTAGCAGTGTAATCATTAACTAATTCACTGAAAAATGCAGATTATACTTGTATTGTTTTTTCAAGTACATAGTGACAAGTACAGAATATTATGTTTGTTTTCTGTTTTCTTATCTTTAAAGGATTATGCTTCTTGTTCCTACAATATGGTCTAAAAAATGTTCTAATCAAAAAGATAAGAAAACAAGAAAACCTATAGCAGATAGAATTCCTTAAGATATAATTAGAACAAACAATATATAAAGTTTTCTAGAAAGTGAAAGAAGAATTTCAAAGCAGACATGAAAGTTTTGGATTACAGTGCTCAGAAAGTTAAAGGAACAGATTGAAATTTACCAGAAATATTTTTAAACTTTAAATTCTTCTGTCTAATACATTGCTTTCTTTTTTGACCTACTTTAAAACGTTAATGGGAATGCAGCCTTTAGGTCTGGGAGTGGCAGATCACATTTTAATGTAATTTTAATTTCTAGAAAAATATTTGAATACAAAATTTCTACAATTCGTTTTTGACGACTTATTTTAAACAGGAAAAAAACATTAATTTATTACTGGATGTAATCTACACCAAATATAAAATGAATTTCTGAAAGAAGAAATAAGAGGAGTCTGATCAGTATTCAAAAATGTTATCTCCAGGTGCAGTAAAGTATGTTTTAATGATTAGGAGGGGGAAGTGAAGAAGGTGAAGACAAGAATCTGAAAATGCAGAATCTATTAAGAAGAGTCATTGTCATGGTCATTGTCATCTTTCATATGCTCTCTTTGCACATGATATCAAAAACACTGTGATATCATAAATCATAATTCCCTTTACCCAGTATTTGTGTGGCATTTTGTGGTGGTAGAGGTTAGTTGTTTATTTTTGTTTTGTTTTGTTAATAATTTTGAAAAGACTTGCTGGGAGTGAAGTGGGTGCCACTTCCTGATTATAGATTTTTTTTTTCCAGTTTTCTGTTCTGTTTATCTGATCAATTTTTTATTTTCTTGGAAGCAGGATTTAGAAAATGGCTTAGTCTACTGCCTGAAGTCTTGACATGAGTAATCCTCTATTTACACATCAGAATTTCAGGTCATTTATGTTGCTTGTTCTGCTTTACTGTCAGAAATCCTGGTTAGAAAGGAAATTCATAGAATCATAGAATCACAGAATCATAGAATGACTTGGGTTGGAAGGGACCCCAAGGATCAAGTTCTAACCACACTGCCACAGGCAGGGCCACCAACCTCCAGATCTGGTACTAGACCAGGTTGCCCAGAGCCCCATCCCACCTGGTCTTGAACACCTCCGGTGATGGACCATCCACAACCTCTCTAAGCAACCTGTTCCAGTACCTTACCACTCTCTTGGTAAGGAATTTCTCCCCGACATATAATCTAAACCTTCCCTCCTTGAGCTTAAAACTATTCCCCTTGTCTTATCACTGTCTAACCTTGTAAAAAGTTGATTCCTTTCCTGTTTATAATCGCCTTTTAAATACTGGAAAGCTGAAATTAGGTCACCCCGCAACCTTCTTTTCTCCAGGCTGAACAAGCCCAGCTCTCACAGCTTGTCTTCATAGGGGAGGTGCTCCAGCCCTCTGATCATCTTCATGGCCCTCCTCTGTTGGACTCACTCCAACAGCTCCACATCTTTCCTGAATTGGGAGCCCCAGACCTGGTTGCAATACTCCAGATGGGGCCTCATGAGAGAAGAGTAGAGAGGGACATTATAGCTATTCTTTAAACACTGTCGAAGGTTCTGTTCTTTCTCCAGACTTTCTTTTTCCCTAAGAAAAATGATTCATTTTCCTATTATATTCTCACCGAGGTTATCAAGCTTACAGAAAAGTGTGTGTATTTGGAATACAGAGCAAGGAAACAAGTTTTATCTGGTGTTTTATCAGGAAGCAATAATGTAGTTATCTGCTACTCTTTTTTTTTATTAAAAAAAAAAAAAAAGGTAAGTCAGACACTGTTGTACAAATAGAAAGACTTCTGTGATGAAAAATGTGATACAAATAGACAAAAGAGCTGCAGGGGATGTTCCTACAATGTTATTAATCTGAATGCTCTAATTCTGCAGCCTGATCCACTGAGGTTGAATAAGTTTATGGCTAGAATGGTTTGACTGCAACTACCAATGTCCTAGATGGGAGTTCTTTTGATCTGGAACTGAGTTTAAATATTTCCTAATTCTGTGCCTACCAAAACACTCACTTGTTAATGGAGAGTTGCTAAAACAAAGATCTCATAAAGGATTTTGGACATTTTTTCCCCAGCTTTCTTAATCAAGGTAAAACCAGTTTTGTAAATGGGATCCAGCCTTGTCACCTGCATGATTTATAAACCACCATATACCTGTTTACTGGCTAAATATGTCTCTTTTTGTCAAATAACATGTCTTTTTTCTGATAACCAAAGTGTCAGAAAATGAAAGATAAGAAGTACTCTACGTTTTGAGCCACTTTAGATGTATGAGATATCTCCTTGTACAGCTGACAGATCCACTGGAGGTATTTTAGAGTCTGAGTATCTATAGAGGTCTCTGTTGAAATGTTACTGCTTTGAATCAGTGCAGTGATGAAGTAATGAGAAACAAAATTTTATCTGTGAGATCTATCTATCTTTCTATCTGTCTTTCTGCCTTTCTATCACACAGCTGTAAATAGGATATTACCAATAAGATACACATCAAGTATGTGTGAAAAATAGTGAGTATTTTCCAGGCTGGACTAATTATCTTAAAGCAAGATTGTTTTCCTAAAGGATGAAGGAAAGAAAAACTACATTTATTTAATGTAATACTAGCATAATAAAACTTGGAATCTTGATTATTACTGAAGAATTAGAGCTGTCTTTCAGGGGGCTTTTCAGGAAACACTCATATTTAGTGCTTATTGAATTAAACTCATCTAGAAAATTGTAGGAAAATAAGTCACTCCCTCCTTTTTTTTTTTTTTTTCTTTTTAAAGACTATGGAAGATTGCTAGTAAACTTAGAACTGCAAAAATGTTATCTGTTAGGAAAAAAAGTATTGACTATGCTTGGAAAGATATATTAATTACCTTATTTACTCTCACTATG